GGATGACTGCTGGCCTATCCACAGGTGCAGATGGGAAACCTCTTCTGGGCCATTGTACAGCAGTAGGTAGAAGTCCCCCAAGGAGAAGAAGACACCCTGGTTCTCTCGCACCACAGGCACTGGCTTCAGCTTCTCCACCCTCCACACATGCAGGCCTGGATCCTGCAATGAGGCTGAAAATGGACAGCCACTCCGGAATGACTGTGTACATGCTGTTTTCAGATCTGCCAAGGCCTTGATCCCCTCAGCAAATTTTTTAAAATTCAAACTTGTTTCCCATACCAGAAATATTAACATGTGGCCAGGCGCAGTGGCTCACCTGAGATCACTAGAGGCCAGGAGTTTGAGACCAGTCTGGCCAACATGGAAAAATCCCATCTCTACTAAAAATACAAAAATTGCCGGGCGCGGTGGCTCACGCCTGTAATCCCAGCACTTTGGGAAGCCGAGGCGGGTGGATCACGAGGTCAAGAGATCAAGACCATCCTGGTCAACATGGTGAAACCCCATCTCTACTAAAAATACAAAAAATTAGCTGGGCATGGGGGCGCACGCCTGTAATCCCAGCTACTCAGGAGGCTGAGGCAGGAGAATTGCCTAAACCCAGGAGGCGGAGGTTGCGGTAAGCCAAGATCGCGCCCTTGCACTCCAGCCTGGGTAACAAGAGCAAAACTCCGTCTCAAAAAATAAAAATAAAAAATAAAAAAATTAGCTAGGCATAGTGGCACACACCTCCAGCCTCAGCTACTTGGGAGGCTAAGGCACAAGTATTGCCGGAACCCAGCAGGTGGAGGCTGCAGTGAGCCAAGATGGCACCACTGCACTCCAGCCTTGGTGACAGGCTGAGACCCTGTCTCAAAAGAAAAAAAATTAAAGCAAAATGAATTAAAGCTAACATTCTTAGATAACAGATAGAGAGACACCAACCTGTGAGATATTATTTTTTTTTTTTTTGAGATGGAGTCTTGCACTGTCTCCCAGGCTGGAGTGCATCTGCTCACTGAAACTTCTGCCTCTCAGGCTCAAGTGATTATCCTGCCTCAGCCTCCAGAATAGCTAGGATTACAGGTGCCTGCCACCATGCCTAGCTAATTTTTTGTATTTTTAGTAGAGATGGGGTTTCACCATGTTGGCCAGCCTGATCTCAAACTGCTGACCTCAAGTTTTCTAGCCACCACAGCCTCCCAAAATGCTGGGATTACAGGCATGAGCCACCACACCTGGCCAAATTTTTTTATTTATAAATATCTACAGGACTGAGTTGTGTTTCATACAAATAACTAAAATGGATTAAATGAAGAATGAACAGCTATTAAAATTGCCGAAAATTAGCTAAATACAACAATCTCAATGGATCCACTGGACTAGTGCATATATATAATATTAAAAAATTAGTAAATTAAGCCTGGAAAGAAACAGTAATTTGCCAGAGAGAAACATAAGCAGATACATTTGAAGAGAAGAGAAGAACTGGCACGAAAGATTACAACTCCTAGAGATAATCTTTATCATACTATGGGAGCTACTGTTTTGTGGTTAAACAACAAGACAGAAAAACATGAAAAAGAGAAGTTTTGCTTCAATTTTGGTCAAAAATATTAGGGTTTGAAATTTACCTTTTATTTTCCTTTCACAGTCAGTTTTTTCAAAATTTTTATTCTGAGAAATAATTATTTAAGGCCTCATACTTTTTCTATAATTATAATCAGTATTCCCAGAAAAAAATTGAGCATACACAGGGAAAAAAAAACACTAAAAACCTAGAATGTCAATAGTGATACACTCTGGTTGATGGGTTTAGAAACAACTTTTACATTTTTATTTATTATTATTTTTTTTTAAAGACAGTGTTTCACCATGTTGACCAGGCTTGTCTCGAACTCCTGACCTCAGGTGATCCACCTGCCTCGGCCTCCCAAAGTGCTAGGATTACAGGTGTAGGCCACCGCGCCTGGCCAATTTTTACATTTTTCTATACTTTCTGAATTACTTAAAATGAGCCATAATGTTGATAATCAGGAAAAAAACTAAAAATCTATTTTTATTTGGACAGAAGAAACTCTATACCTTAATAATAGGTAATTCCAAAAAATGATCCAAATATACCTATTCTCCTGCATACTCAGAACTTCAAATAAAAGCAAAATATTCAAAACAGATTATCAAAAATGAAAATAATGCCCCAAGCAATAGATCTACTTGTTGATTTTCAATATAAAAGCTTGATGGCACAATATAAATATCAAAATAAATTTGAACACTTTTTTAGATAGAAGAAATACAAATCATATGCATGCAAAATAACTGAGAACTGAGACTAGTGGGTTTTTACACGTTTATCTCCTTCTTAAACCATTTACTATTCAACAGCATATAACAATAGGATAAATATAACAAGAATGATTTTTGCCTACAGCAATTGATGATTTAATATATATGTCACTGAAAAAAAAATAAGGATTTAGAGACCCGTATAGGCAAAACAACACTGCCTATAGGCAAAGTAATAAGGTGTAGAGTACTGAAGAAAAAAATAAGGCAAAATCAAGTTCATACAGATTGATAAGTTAACTGTTTTGCAACAATAATTTGCTTAATTATTAAGACCATGAAGAATGTTAAGAATTATATAAAATAAAAACTACGTTACTTATAAAATAGCCAATGATTTTAAGATATGTACCAAAGAAAAAAAATCACCCAGATTTATAAAGATTAAGCATTAAATGTGTAAGACTCAAATCTGAATTTTGTAATATTCATTCAAAACAATGGTCAAAAGCCAAGCTGAAATTCTGGCTTATATTAAAACACAGTCCATTTTCTAATTTAGAAAGAAACTTAAGAAAATGAAATTATTTTTCCTTACTTGAAAACTTCTTTGGTGAGAGACTGGTCCAGTATTTGAAACAAAAAATAAGAAACTATATGAAAGGCATCACGGTTCAGCTTGTCAAACATGTTCCTAGTGGTTAAAAATGAAATAGAAGCAGAAAAAGAAAAAGAAAATAGTTAATAAACTAAACATCATCAAAAGCTGAGTTCTTACTGAGTTTGACACAAATTAATGTTTTAATTCTCTTCAGGAAGACAAGGCAAATTAATTTTTCTTATTCATGTAGATGTTATAACCAATTAAAAACATACAAGCTTTTGTTTTCTAATTCCGAAAATAAAAATTCAATAGAAGACTGGCAGAACTTGCTTTAATGAAAACACTCTACAGAAAAGGAAGGAAAATCTAATTCAAGATAGAATCATGCCCTATAATACCAACCTACATTTACTAAATAACAGTAAATAATTAATAATTATTAAGAGTTTCTTATTTGCCAAGCATTCTTTAAGTCTTCTACAGGCAGTAACTTAGCCAATCTTCACTTCTACCACATACTATCTACCTTAACACAAATTATTTTACTTAATCCTAATGACACTAGATAGTGGTTTGATTACCTTCATAATACAGATGAGGAACCCTAAATTTAGAGATTAGAAATTTGCCCAAAATCGCTTAACTAGAAGGTAGAAAAGTAGTAGTTTGAAATACGTCCCCTCACCCTAGAGTTCAGGGTCTTCACTACTAGATTTTTACTCCCAGAACCATCTTTATAACATAATGCTGGCATTAGTTTTTATTATTCCAATTACCCTAATTAATCAAAACAAAGCCGAAAAGAAATATAACGTGAAAACAAAAACAGAAAAACATTAAAGCCTTTAAGAAATGTCACACAGGGCCGGGCGCGGTGGCTCAAGCCTGTAATCCCAGCACTTTGGGAGGCCGAGGCGGGTGGATCACGAGGTCAACAGATCGAGACCATCCTGGTCAACATGGTGAAACCCCGTCTCTACTAAAACTACAAAAAATTAGCTGGGCATGGTGGCGCGTGCCTGTAATCTCAGCTACTCAGGAGGCTGAGGCAGGAGAATTGCCTGAACCCAGGAGGCGGAGGTTGCGGTGAGCCGAGATCGCGCCATTGCACTCCAGCCTGGGTAACAAGAGCGAAACTCCGTCTCAAAAAAAAAAAAAAAAGAAATGTCACACAACTATAAGGAATCAAGAGTTAACTTAAACGGCAAAGCATCAAAATTACTTCAAAAAATCAAATCAAGTGAATTTCTGACTCAGGAGTGATTACTATTCTCTTGCATAAGTTCCTATGCCTATCCATTTGTCAACTCTTTTGTCCTTAGAATGTCTCTATTCCTCAAGTAACACAAATGAAGTTCCATCTATCCCACTTCCTTACCATCTCTCAAACCTGTTGTTTTTCAAAGTACTTTGTTATCTTCTCTTTGACACTTACTGTAATTTGTAATAAGATCTTTGTTGAAGATTTCTTCCTTCACTAGACTTAAATTCTATAAGGGAAAATTTGTATCTACTCTGTTCACCACTGTATACCCAGGTCCAATACTGTGTTCAATAAATATCTGTTGAATGAACAAATAAATGAATCACCTCTTTTTATTCCTACTGCCGCCTTAGTTTGAGGAAAGAGACCCAGGCATCTGGGATCACCTCCCCCTTGACCTCCACACTGCATTTCTTTTCTTTCTTTTTTTTAAAGATGGGGTTTCACCATGATGGCCAGGCTGGTCTTGAACTCCTGACCTCAGGTGATCCACCCACCTCAGCCTCCCAAAGTGCTAGGATTACAGGCATGAGCCCAGCCACACTGCATTTCAATAGAAGAAACGGCTGGCCGACTGTCGGCACCTCTTGATTCACCTTCCTGTAATACAGCAGAGTAGTATGGGGGAATCTCTCCAGAAGACATTGTTTTTACTTGAACAAGATCAAACCCCTAGCCCACTCCTCCATCCGGAAACCAGAACCCTTTCACATGTAATTTAAACCCAGGACCCTTTCATATGTGACTTCTAAAGCTGTAAACCCAAGACCCTTTCTTTTTTTTTTTTTTTTTTTGAGAACAAGTTTCGCTCTTGTTGCCCAGGCTGGAGTGCAATGGCTCCACCTCAGCTCACCGCAACCTCTGCCTTCCAGGTTCAAGCAATTCTCCTGCCTCAGCCTCCCAAGTAGCTGGGACTACAGGTGCGCACCACCACGCCCAGCTAATTTTTATATTTTTAGTAGAGATGAGGTTTCACCATGCTGACCAAGATGGTCTCGATCTCCTGACCTCGTGATCCGCACGCATAGGCCTCCCAAAGTGCTGGGATTACTGGCATGAGCCACCACACCTGGCCCCAAGACCCTTTCATTTGTGATTTCTAAAACTGTAAACCCAAGACCCTTTCCCTTGTAATTTCTAAGCCTGAAAACCTAAGATGCTTTCATGTGTAATATCCGCAGTGTAAGCCTATATAAAGGCAGAGCTTCTCTTTGTTAGGGAGCTCCCGGCTGTTTGGACAAAACATAAAGCCTTGCTCCCGGGCAGTAATAATAAAACCCCTTCCTTTCTAGTAATAGTAAAACCCCTTCCTTGCTAGTAATAATAAAACCCCTTCCTTTCTAGTTTGGTGTCCAAGAGACCTGTTTCTCTTGGCTGCTCCTGCTTCAAGTTCAGCCCTAGATAGCTGCAAAGGCCTTCTTCCCCTTCTATCCATTCTCTATAAGGCAACCATATGATTTTTCCAAAATGCAAACCATTGCTGGGTCATATGTTAAGTGTATGTTTAACTTTTTTTTTTTTTTTTTTTTTTTTTTTTTGAGTTGGAGTTTTGCTCGTTACCCAGGCTGGAGTGCAATGGCGCGATCTCGGCTCACTGCAACCTCCGCCTCCTGGGTTCAGGCAATTCTCCTGCCTCAGCGTCCTGAGTAGCTGGGATTACAGGCACGCGCCACCATGCCCAGCTAATTTTTTGTACTTTTAGTAGAGACGGGGTTTCACCGTGTTGACCAGGATGGTCTCGATCTCTTGACCTCGTGATCCACCCGCCTCGGCCTCCCAAAGTGCTGGGATTACAGGCTTGAGCCACCGCGCCCGGCTGTTTAACTTTTAAGAAAAGTAGTCATGCCACTACAGGGTCATAGAAACAAAAACTCATACACTGCAAACCAAAGAGAATGTATACATATAAAATATAAGTGAATAGGCCGGGCGTGGTGGCTCACGCCTGTAATCCCAGCACTTTGGGAGGCCGAGGCGGGTGGATCACGAGGTAAAGAGATCGAGACCATCCTGGTCAACATGGTGAAACCCCGTCTCTACTAAAAATACAAAAAATCAGCTGGGCATGGTGGCGCATGCCTGTAATCCCAGCTACTCAGGAGGCTGAGGCAGGGGAATTGCCTGAACCCAGGAGGCGGAGGTTACGGTGAACCGAGATCGCGCCATTGCACTCCAGCCTGGGCAACAAGAGCGAAACTCCGTCTCAAAAAAAAAATATATATATAAGTGAATAAAAAATAATGGTTTTTGTAGGAAAAGATGGTCAGTAGCAGAACCTGTGTTACTTACAGTTAAATGATTACAAGCTTGCTTTGCTTTTTATACACTGAGATTTGTGTCATGGATCAAATACTGAATTAAGAAAACTCCAAAATGCAGTAAAATAAAAGCAGAGATCAAGCGGTAATGGGAGGCCTATAGTAAAAACCATCTGAGAGCGCTTTATAACAAGGAACCCTGTGGTTGCAAAGCAGTGAAAACTGCTTTGGTCCCAGGATCTCTTCCCAACATAGGGTCTGCGCAAGAGTCTCGTAAAGGGGGGCTTGTGCAAGAACTCTGGGAAGGAATGCAGCCTCTGCTCACAAGACTCAGGAGGGTCTTTGCAGATGGGAGCTTGTGAGGCCGGAAAGCCTTGCAGGGCAGAGAAAACCGGAATGCCACACGCTCTGCCTGTGTTCTCAGAATATGGAGTAATTCTGATTGCTCTGTCCCCACAAAGCTCGGGAGATAAAAGCCCCTTGATGCATTGTGTGTGTCAGACCTTACGGTGCCTTATCCACTGTGACTCTTCACAGATGCACCTGGATAGACAACGGGTGGTAAAACTCAGTGTTCTTAGTTAGCATTTCTTAGAAGAACCACATTTGCTATTGAATGCTGCATGTTCTTCCCCCAACCATCTTCCTTCTCAAGCCCCCTCCCCACGGCCTGCAAGATTAACAAGATAATGCACCTAATAAAAGCACGTGGAGCCCAAAGTTCAGTGCTCTGCCATTCACCCTACAAGAGAGTGTGTTGGCCCCCTGGACCCATGCTGTCAAATTCTACTCGTCTTTGTCTTATTTCTTCTCTCACTCCCTCATGGCCACTGGGACTCAAGGCACCCATATACAGGGTTAGGCTGGTTCCCAACAGGTTTTTTTTTTCATTTTTAAGAGACAGGATCTCGCCTTGTTATCCAGGCTGGAATGCAGTGGTACAATCATAGCTCACCATAGCCTCAAACTCCTGGGCTCAAGCAATCCTCCCACCTTGCCCTCCCAAAGCACTGGGATAACAGGTGTGAACCACCATGCCCAGCCTAATTGCTTTTTTAAGAGACAAGAGTCTCACTAAGTTGCCCAGGCTGGTCTCAAACTTCTGGCCAACAGCAATTTCCCACCTCACCTTTCTGAGTAGCTGGATTTACAGGTGCACTAAGCAATTTTAAAAGTACATTTGGCAGGGTACAGTGGCTGATGCCTGCAGTCCCAGCACTTTGGGAGGCTGAGGTAGGCGGAGCACGAGGTCAAGAGTTCAAGACCAGCCTGACCAACATGGTGAAACTACGTCTCTACTAAAAATACAAAAATCAGGCCGGGCGCGGTGGCTCACGCCTGTAATCCCAGCACTTTGAGAGGCCGAGGCGGGTGGATCATGAGGTCAAGAGATCGAGACCATCCTGGTCAACATAGTGAAACCCCGTCTCTACTAAAAATACAAAACATCAGCTGGGCATGGTGGCGCATGCCTGTAATCCCAGCTACTCAGGATGCTGAGGCAGGAGAATTGCCTGAACCCGGGAGGTGGAGGTTGCGGTGAGCCGAGATCGCGCCATTGCACTCCA